AACCACCAGAGTTAAACCACCAGAGTTAAACCATCAGAGTTAAACCATCAGAGTTAAACCACCAGAGTTAAACCATCAGAGTTAAACCACCAGAGTTAAACCATCAGAGTTAAACCATCCAAGTTAAACCACCAGAGTTAAACCACCACAGTTAAACCATCAGAGTTAAACCATCAGTTAAACCATCAGTTAAACCATCAGAGTTAAACTCCTATCTTAAGAACGTTATTGTGTCTGAGATCTGGTCTATTGAAAGGAAGCAGACCTGCTGAGAGTCACTAGAGAGGAGCTGACTGATCTGATCTGCATCCATTCCACCTTCCATTAGCACCTCCCTCTCACCTCCTCCTCCACCTCCTCCTCCTCCTCTCCAGCATGTGTCCCTCTGTGCGACAGCAAAGCTCCATTAGGGCAGAGATGCTGCACATTTTCACACAAACGCAGCTCCTGGTTGACCTCTGTGTCGGCCAGCAGCAGACAGGAGTTCAGCTTTCTGATTGGTTCAACCATTAAGAGGCTGATTGGAGGATTAGAGCTCCTCCAAGGTCCCTCCTGCCCCTTCCTCAGCCGCTGCAGCTCCGTACCCTCGCCTTCATCACCATCAGCCCCCCTGGACTGTCTCCTCCTCTCCTGCTGCTGTTAAATTGCTGCCAATCAGGGATTCATCGTCTCCTGAACCATCTGTGGGCCGTTTGGTTTAGCAGAACGATGCAGATTGACTGCGAACAGAAAGGAGAGCATGAGGAGAGCAGAGGGAGCTGGGAAGGCAGCAGAGCTGCAGGTAGCTCTGTGTTTACTGCTCTTTCTAATATTAGCAGCTCTCTATATAATAACTGCTGAGAGGAAAAGGAAAGCAGCAATCAGGCTGTCAGCTTTTCCTTTTACACCAATAAACCAGTGGAGCGTCTGAGAAAGGTCTCAGTTACAGTCTGAAGGTCAGAAGCTCCTCCACTGAGGACCGATCAGGCCTGGAAATGAAAAGCTTTTAACCAAAGCATAGATATAAACCCCAGAAAACATTGATCTAGATTGGATGTGATGAGGAAGTGTTTCTCCTCCTCATCGTCCATCTTGTTTAAAAGGGTTATTTACGGCTTGTTCCACCCTGTTCTCCACTTGGACCATGAAGACATGAGAGCTTAACCAGTTCCTGGTACACAGAGCTTCACGCAGACCCAGAAAACCAGAGCTGCCATCATCTGAACAGCAGGGAGGGTCTGTCTGCTCTATGATAGTGGTTCTGATCAGCGTATCGGTGCCTGTGCCCAGCAGGCGGGGCGGGAGGCGGGGCAGGAGGCGGGGTCCGCCCTGCAGAGGTCAGCAGCGTGCCACAGGGCAACACAGAGACACACAAAGATGTAAACCCTGCACACAACTCAGAGAACTGAACAGGACTGTAGGAGGAAGCTCTAGAACCCAGAGAGAACCAGCGAAAGCACAAGGAGAACATGCAAACTCAGTGCAGTCAGACTCCAGGCCGGGAATCAAACTCACAACCTCCTCTCTGCAAAGCAGCATCGCTGCAACTGCTCCACCGTTCACCAGCTTTATACAGACGGACCTTCTACTGGTCCCAGTACCTGCAGTGTATCCTCGGTCCACGGTCAGACTGGGGAACGGCATCGGCCTCAGGCTGAACTTGTTGTGTGTGAAGCCACAGGATGGAGAAGGCAGAATCCCAGGATACTGGGAGGATTCCAGTGTTGGAACTGGAATGGCGCTGACCACCGCTGAAACAGAGAATAGCAGTCAGTTAGCCCAGCAGCAGCTAGAATAGATCTACGTTTATCAGCCGTAACCGCACACTGGTTTAGCATTAGCATGGCTACAGGTCAGGGTCAGAGGTCAGAGGTCAGGGTCCTCTAAACCTTCCTCTAGAAGGCTGGAGCTAAAAAAGGAGCGTTTTTCTCTGGTGGCGAGCTTCAGCCCTCTCTGCCATGACCCCAATCTTTAGCTTCTCCTCAGATGTCCAGGCTGCTCCAGAACCTTAATATCTGGGTCATCAGGCTGGAACCAGAACCAGGTTCCTTAGCTACCTTCCTGATGGTGCTGATGGTTTAGGTTACCATGGGGATGGGGCTCTTCTTCCACCATCATCATTGTTACTGGTTCTGGATGATCTAAACAGAAACGTGTGAACTGATCCAGGCGTCTGTTGCTCCTCAGCTGAGCCGCTCTACTGCAGCAGAACCTCTGAGGAACCAGAGAAGGAGAGAAGAACTTCTCCACTCACAACTTTTCCTAAATAGCCTCGAATCAAAGCCGCCAACATTTAAAGCCCATCCTGCTGGTAGAACCAAAAGAAAATCTGGGGAGTGGTGGCCTAGAGCATAGAGCTTGGAATCCAGAGGTTCTCAGTCTAAGCCCCACTCCCACAGCCTCCAACCTGGGTCCCTGAGCAAGACACCCCTCATTGCTCCCCGGGTGCCACACAATGGCAGCCCACTGCTCCCCAAGGGGATGGGTTAAATTCAATTCAGTTTATTTATATAGCGCCAAATTCACAACACATGTCATCTCAAGGCACTTTACAGTTCAACCAGATCATACAGTCAAATTGATACAAAGTTTTCTATCTAAGGAAAACCAGTTGATTGCATTGACTCAACTGGTTTCCTTAGATAGAA